CATAGAAGCACTATTTACAATAGCCAAGACATGGAAGCAACCTAAATGTCCACTGCCAGATGAATGTATAAAGAAGATGTGGTATGTGTGTGTGTGTGTGTATATATATATATATATATATATATATATATATATATATATATATATATATATGTTTTTTCCTGTGGAATATTACTCAGCTATAAAAAAGAATGAAATAATGTCATTTGCAGCAACATGGATGGACCTAGAGTTTATCTTACTAAGTGAAGTAAGTCAGAGAAAGACAAGTATCATTTGATATCACTTATATGTGGAATCTAAAAAAATGATACAATGAACTTATTTACAAAACAAATAGGCTCACAGATATAGAAAAGATACTTATGCTTACCGAAGGTGAAAGGATGGAGGGAGGGATAAATTGGGAATTGGGGATTAAGAGATACATACTACTATACATAAAATAGATTTTAAAAAGACCTACTGTTTAGCACAGGGACTACATTCAATATCTTATAATAACCTATAATGGAAAAGAATCTGAAGAAGAAAAAAAATTATGTATATATCTGAATCACTTTGCTGTATACCTGAAACACTGTAAATCAACTATACTTCAATGAAGAAAAGAGTAAAAAAGTGTGTGAACATTTTTGCGACTCTTGATTGTTTTCCAAAAAGTGTATCACAAGTCATAGTCCCTCCAGGACTGTGGAAGAGTGTCTTATCACCCTATAGTAAACATGAATATTTATTTAATCATTAAAAATAAAACAAGAAAAACAGAAACAACTGATAGATACATCATCCTTATAATAATGTTGTTTTAATCACAATTAGGTGATTATTTTTCAATTTTTGTATCATTCATTTCAAAAAAATATATATATATATATCTCCTTTAACTCTTTTTCTATTTTTTAAAAATTAATCCTATGTATTCAACATGAATAAGACATATAACAGTGACTTCTGTTTTATATGGTCATTTTCCAAATTTTATTTGCTATTTAACTGTGTTAGAAATGTTTATATTCATAATATAATTTATTTTAAAAAATTAAAACGAATTATAATTACATGAAAATATTTTCTACTTTATAGAAACATGGTTGTAATTTTCACAATCCCTCCTGGGTTCACATTATTTCAAGTGCATATTTAGTAATCTCAAATTCAATAATACTCATATAAGCCTTTAATATTTTTATATATACACCATGATATCTTTATAGAAATTAACTTACACACAGATACTCACACACACAATGAGGGTATATTTCTAGGTTCCCAAACTTTTCTACCTAGTTTTTTTTTCTACCCGAGCTTAAAAATCTCATATAAAGTTGTTTATGAGAATTAAATTGTGATAAATTATTTAACTTCTTTATAGTCTCTTTCATTTTTAGCCAGTATTTTATGTTTGTTATATGGTGCTTATTACTTTGCATTACGACTAACAGGACTTAAAAAGATAAAATGATATCGATATACATATATTAATATACATATTAATATGGCATAGTTGGAAAATTTTGGAAAGAAAAGGTCTTCCATTCTGAGGGCTGTACATGTCAAATATTTTGTGAAGACTGGATTTTATATTGTGAGATTATCACTTACAGCATGTAGTCAATTGTTATTTGCTTTTAAAGAAAACTATGAGCACAACATGATGAAAATCATTTGTCGTTAAATCAAAGAAGAGAAACAAAGAAAGCAACTGCCTGAGACCCGCTCAATGAAGGAAGGAAAGAAGGAAATCATGGTTTGATGAAACTATCAGAATTCAAATATATGTATTAAGATCCCATATTTTAAAGAAAGGCTTTTTAGCTGGACATATCTGACAAGATTCGAGGAGAAAAACCAAAAACTCTCTGGATCTTGTCTCCTTTTTATAAAGTGTGGGTTTGTCATGTCACTCAGGAATGTTTTATTTCAGCTTAACACAGGACAGAAAATTGATTAATACTGACATTGCTTTCCTAGGTCTCTGTACTATATTTACCTGAAATACAAACCACAACTTTAGTGAATGCATTTGTCAGATAAGAACAAGAACATTAACTCTGTCTGAAAACTGACTAAAATGTAGGTAGTCTGGTTATACTCCTTTCTTACAGGAAAAAAAATGGATATGAGAATATCATATTTTAAAAAATAATAAGAAATGACCAATAGCTTATAAAATAAAGAGCAAAATTAGATACTCTTTAAAGCCACAAAATTATTTTCTCCCATTACTTAACTCCAACTAATGTTTAGAGAACTTTTTCCTTCTCCCCACTGGTAGCTTTTTTTCTTTAAAATCTTATTTTTTTTTAAATTTTTGGCTGTGTTGCTGCATGCGGGCTTTCTCTAGTTGCGGGAAGCGGGGGCTACTCTTCGTTGTGGTGTGCGGGCTTCTCATTGTGGTGGCTTCTCTTGTTGCAGAGCACGGGCTCTAGGTGTGCGGGATTCAGTAATTGTGTCATGCAGGCTCAGTAGTTGTGGCTCACAGGCTCTAGAGCACAGGCTCAGTAGTTGTGGTGCATGGGCTTAGTTGCTCCACAGCATGTGGGATCTTCCCGGGCCAGGGATGGAACCCGTGTCCCCTGCACTGGCAGGCGGATTTTTAACCACTGGTAGCTTTTATTCTATTTTTTTCCCTGATTCAAAAGTATTGGATACTTAAGAATAGATGCAACTCTATGATCCCTCCCCCCTCCTTTCTCTACTCTCCTGTGATCCAAATTGTCTTCTTGTAGTCTGGTGAAGCCATTTATATCCATGAACTCTGACTTGAACTGTGTACACTGCTACCTGCCATACTTTCCCTGGAGCCCATATTCTAGATAAAGCTTCCTTATAACTAGGTTGTATTGGAAGTAAAACTTCCCTGGATGTGTTCTGGTGCATTTTTTCCTTATGCCACTAAAATTAATCTAAGGTTTAAGTTAAAAATCTATGGTTTCTTATGAATCAAAGCCAAAAAAAAATCTACTTACGCTTTGAGTTTCAACTCAAGCAAGATGATCCTAATGGAATACCTCTGACAGACATTTACTTATAATCATGTCCAAGAGTGATCAGAAATCCAGTAGAAGAAGTTTATAAACCTGAAGAATCAAAATGTACATGCTAACCACCAACTGCATGGATGTTCTGTGACAAGAAGTTGACTTTGTCAATAATCCTCTAAATTATGGTCTCTGTATGGTTATGGATTCAGAGCATGGGTGATGATGGCTGGGAGGTCATATTTATAGCCTGAATTTACCCCAGACAGACAAAGGTTTTGATTTTTGTAATTTTTACAATAAAGAAGTACAAATTTAATTTTTAGTAAGCTTTTTCACTGATGTGCACATCCCTGAATTAATTAAATTGTTCTGAGGAAAAATGTGTACATTCATGCTAAAGCCAATAGCTTTTGACAATCTGAGTCTTATTTTTAAACCCTTTCATAAGTCAGTAATGAGACAAGCTGTGACTTTATTGGTTCTTTGCAATTAGATAATGATATGCAAAACACAGGCCCTGTGATTGTATTTGAAAAACAATGACATCTTACAAGGTTCTTTGAATGGTAGTAAAGCCAGGAGTATAATTTATCAATAGTGTTGTTCACCCGGAACTTTTCAATTACTTTCTACCTGTATTTCCTTCTTTATTTTCTCTGTCTCTGTCTCTCTCTGCCTTTATCTCTGTTTATCTCTCTGATGTCTCTCAAGTAAATTCTTCTCCCTTTCCTTTCTGTTTCATTTAACAAATTGATGTAACCTTTTCCCTAAATTTCATTATGAACCAGGAGCTGAATCTCATGCTGGGTATAGAGTGGTACTTGAAACAATCTTCATTTTAAATGAACTGTTAGTAAGTTAAGAGATACCGTATTTAAAACAAACAAACAAACCAAAAAAAGACACTTGATGGTTTCTTCTGCTTCTAGACAACACGATGAACTACCACAAGCTCCTATATTCCTCCAATAGAATCAGCCATAGGAGAGTTAGGACGGTTAATGAATTCTAAGTCCATCATTGCACGATTGTGAAAGTCACTATTCACATTGTATTCTGTGAATGGCACCTCACTGGAGTTTAAAATACAATATGAGTGGTGCTCCCTAGACAATGTAGAACAACAGCCATTAAAGCCCCCATTCAACCACTCACAGAAAACTATAAAATCTTTGAAAAGATGAAAGATGGTTGGATCTTGATGGAACCAGGGTAGTGGGAGATGGGGAAGTTTGCAAATTAGGGGACAGGAGCCTCAAATGAAGCACAGACTGGGTTAGATTTCCTATTTGTGCCCCTTTCTCTCTCTCAGCCTTCACTTCCGTGGGGCAGGAATACAGCAGCACCAGCCCCATTGTCAGCGACATGCAGTGGAATAACAAGGAATAACAAGTCTGGCTGTGGTAGAGATGCCCTATTAGTGAGTGTACACAGCCTGGGGAGGTTCTGATCATTCCTGCACCTCCACCCTTATCCCCACTGCACGAGCTAATCAGAACAGAAATAAGGGTCCAGGCCAAAAGCATTGACAGGAGCAGAGTCACTAGAAGTTTCCTAGAAATAGGACAGGGATGGAAGGGGTAGAATGCCATACTGAAATCTCCACTCTTAAACAAAGGGGAGCACAAGTTAGAGCCTAGGTTTCTAAATCTCCTCTTCAGTAACAAATATTAGTCAAAGCAATAGATAGATCCAATAAAATGTGATTTTCCAGTTACTGAGGAGCTCAAACACTATGCAGTAAAAATCACTAATGGAAAAATTGTTACCTGAAAAAGCAGAACTAATGCAACAGGAAGAACAAACATTTAAAGTGCACATTAAAAATATATTCAACACATAAGGAAAATATTAAACATGAAACAAAACAGATATTTTAAAGAAACTGTGCAGGTATGGGGAGAAAAATCTGAAATGAGGAAATAAGAAAGGACAAGGAGTGGGTTGAATGACAAAATATATACTGTAGGGCCCACTCCTCTACCCACGACCCGGGAGAGCCTTGACCAGAGCATGGAGAGTCAGGAGAAGGCGAATAGAGCGGGACGCATGTTCGATGTAGTCGTGATAGGAGGCGGCATCTCAGGATTATCTGCCGCCAAACTCTTAGCAGAACATGAAGTTAATGTTTTGGTTTTAGAAGCCCGGGACAGAGTTGGAGGAAGAACATACACAGTGAGGAACCAACATGTTGATTACGTAGACGTTGGCGGGGCTTATGTGGGACCAACCCAGAACAGGATCTTACGGTTATCTAAGGAACTGGGTTTAGAAACTTACAAAGTGAACGTAAATGAGCGTCTTGTTCAATATGTCAAGGGGAGAACTTATCCATTTCGGGGTGCCTTCCCTCCAGTGTGGAATCCCATTGCCTATCTGGATTACAACAATCTGTGGCGGACAATGGATAACATGGGAAAGGAGATTCCAGCTGATGCACCGTGGGAGGCACCACATGCAGAGGAATGGGATAAGATGACCATGAAAGATCTCATCGAAAAAATCTGCTGGACAAAGACTGCTAGGCAGTTTGCATCTCTCTTTGTGAATATCAATGTGACCTCTGAACCCCACGAGGTGTCCGCCCTGTGGTTCTTGTGGTATGTGAAGCAGTGTGGAGGCACCACTCGGATGTTCTCCATTACCAATGGGGGCCAGGAACGGAAGTTTGTAGGTGGATCTGGTCAAGTAAGCGAGCGGATAATGCACCTCCTCGGGGACAGAGTGAAACTGAGGTGTCCTGTCACCTATGTTGACCAGTCAGGTGACAACATCATGATAGAGACATTGAATCATCAACTTTATGAGTGCCGATACGTAATTAGTGCCGTCCCTCCAACTTTGACTGCCAAGATACACTTCAGACCAGAGCTTCCTTCAGAGAGAAACCAGTTAATTCAGCGTCTTCCAATGGGGGCTATCATTAAGTGCATGATGTATTACAAGGAGGCCTTTTGGAAGAAAAAGGATTACTGTGGCTGTATGATCATCGAAGACGAGGAAGCTCCGATTTCAATAACCCTGGATGACACCAAGCCAGATGGATCGCTGCCTGCCATCACGGGCTTCATCCTTGCTCGAAAAGCTGACCGCCTTGCTAAAGTCCATAAAGAACTAAGGAAGAGGAAAATCTGTGAGCTGTACGCCAAAGTGCTAGGATCCCAAGCAGCTTTACAACCGGTGCACTATGAAGAGAAGAACTGGTGTGAGGAGCAGTACTCCGGGGGCTGCTACACGGCCTACTTCCCCCCGGGTATCATGACTCAGTACGGAAGGGTGATCCGCCAGCCCGTGGGCAGGATTTACTTTGCTGGCACGGAGACGGCCACACAGTGGAGCGGTTACATGGAAGGAGCAGTAGAGGCCGGAGAACGGGCAGCTAGAGAGGTGTTGAACGCTTTGGGGAAGGTGGCAAAGAAAGACATATGGGTCCAAGAACCTGAATCAGAGGATGTTCCCGCTGTAGAAATCACCCACACCTTCTGGGAGAGGAACCTGCCTTCCGTGACAGGCCTGCTGAAGATCGCCGGATTTTCCACATCGATAACTGCCCTGTGGTTTGCGGTGTGCAAATTCAGGCTGCTGACCCGATGCTGAAGTTTCAGCTTCATGCTTTCTGCTTACTCTTTCCCAGCATCATCAAAAGCAAAATGTTGACAAATTGAAAGGCTGTGTCATCGGATCATTTTTAAGTGCACTGATTTAACCCCTCAGTTTAATCTCAGTGTATCACCTCCTTAATTTCCGTAAGATCAAACTCCATCTTGTGATTTGTCTATAGACCAGCTCGTATTGATTGGTAGAAGATAACCTTGTGATCAATTTCTTAATTTCAAGAAGTTAAAGTTGACATGCTCATAAAAAAAAATATATATATATATATATATATATACTGTAGGAAACTGAATTAGTCAGGTGAAGACTGGGTAGGAGACTCTTCAAGAAGGCACTGGAAGAGATTAATTTGGGATGACATGGGAGAAGGATAGAAGAGAAATAAATGAGTAAAAGTGGATATAGGCAAAATTGTGAACAACTGGATAATAGGAGTCACCAAAATAAAGAATATTTTTGTGATCTGAGGGTTAAAAAGGAGATTTTAAACAAGACTCCAAAAAGCACAAACACCAAAGAAAAAAACTGAAGCATATGATTTTATCAAAATTGAAGATTTTTGTTCCATGAGAGATACCAAAGAAAAAAACTAAAGGATGTAGAAGTGGGAGAAATTATTTATATTTTCAAATATCTAATTTACATGGAATTTTAACATGGGTATATAAAGACACTTCTGCACTGTTGTTGGGAATGTAAATTGGAGGATTCCTTCTAAAAAGGAATCAGGAAATACTCTATAAAATAGGGTATGCATATTCCCTAAGACGTAACCAATTCTACTAAAGATATTTCAGAGTAAAACTCACACTGGTAAAGAGGTATGAAGACATTCCCGGTATTATTGTTTGGAGGAGAATAAATGGACGCAACCTAGTTGACCACTGCTGGGAAGATACAGCAGTTAAAATGCAGGATATGCATATAATAGAATACCATACCGTAGTCAAAATATGTTACATGCATATAAGGAATGCCATTCAGTATTCCAAAATGAGAACTAGATTTACATATAGCAACATGGATGGAGCTCAAAAACAAGTTTCATGAAAATATTAAGAAACAATGATATTTAAAATAGTATCCTATATATAGAAAGGGGGCCCAAACATTTACATGTCTCTGCAACAATATAACTTTTCAAATGAGACAATTAGATATGATACATATATTTGAAAAAGCGATAAAAGAGGTAACTGATGAGAAGGGAGCTGAAGTGAGATGAAGATGACAGAAAAAAATAATTTTTTTTGTTGTCGTTGGCCGTACCGCACGGCATGCGGGACCCTAGTTCCCCGACCAGGGATTGAACCTGTGCCCTCTGCAGTGGAAGCTAAGAGTCTTAACCACTGGACTGCCAGGGAAGTCCCAGGAAAAAAATAACTTTAAAAGAAACAAAAAATGGATTTTCTTTGGATGATTATAGAATATCATGAGAGGTATGCTACCAATTCCATTTATAGAATTGGGAAAACAATGATTTCAACACGAGTTATAAAGGAAAGTAACAGATAATCGAGTTATAAAGGCAAGTAACAGATAATCACCACATGTTCTTCTTGGTGGGGGCTGAGAGAAAATGATTTTGAGATCTTCAATCTAAATGGTGATTTGGGGGAGAAAAATCAGGAGGATGTAAAGCTTGAAGTGAATCTTGAAAGACAAATGGGAGTTAATATATTTGACAAAAATTATTAGGAAAAGGGATTTCAAGAATGTAGGTACTGTATTTCCTGTTAACAAATACAGAGGGCTGAACGAAAAAAGCACATCCAAGGAACTCTTTGTAATTCATAATATTGAGAAAAGGAGGATGAAGTTTAAATGTAGGCAAGTGACAGACCATGAAAAGCCTAGTATATCATGGAGTTTATCCTGAAGGAGAGACTCTGAACAGTTTAAGTAGAAAAGTAATATGGTTAGATTGTCTTTTAGGAATACCACTCTAAAAAATATGGAGAATGAACTGGGTGGAACTGGGTATATAGTTTGGGGAGTAGGGTAGCCAAACCTGATGCAGAGAGGCCATTCCAAAGATATTGCCATAATCCTGCAAAGAAATCACTGAAGTCTAATATCAGACACAGGCAATAAGGAGTGAGATTAAGAGGCAGAAGTGAGAGATTCAGGAAGTAGAATTCATACAAGTAAGTGTAGTTGGAGAAGATGGAATAGAAATCTCAGACAATGTTTAGATTTTTTTTTTTAATTTCAGTGGTCGAGGTAGAAAAAGCAAGAGGAGTTGCAGATGAAAGAAGGGACACATGTTGACTTGGAGCTTCCCACTATATAGAGGTCAATAATGCAGACCTGTAAGAATTTGAAAACGTAGGTGTGGAACTCAGAAGCAAGATCAGTGCTGAAGCCAGACATTTGGTAGTCAGCTATGCATAACATGGGTGTGGATAAGCCTTCTTTAGGGTGGTATTTGGAATGTAAAACATAGATGGCAGAGGATAAAATTCAAGGGAGCTTTTAAGAGTTAGGCAAAAAAAAAAAAAAAAAAGAAACCAGTAAGATGTGAAGAGAGTATGCCTTAGCTGGCCTCCTTTCCTCATGAAATTAAGTAGGTTTTTACTTGGGAAGTCTTGTGTTGTTGTTTTTTCTTACCTTTTTAATATCAGCTGCTATTGAAATCTAAGTCAAAAAGTATTCCTTTAAGTGACTGAGGGGAAGATTTTTATCTTCATAGATGTGATTTTGCATATTTCTCCAAGTAACTTCAATTTGGGCTTCTATTTCAGCTGGTGGTGGAAAGCCTAATACTGTCAGTCCATAAACCCAGTCCCTTTTATTAAGAATCCAAACTCATTTATTCTCCTTCTCTCTCTTCATTTTCTCCCCTTCTCCCTGAAAGTAATCTACTTGCAATACGGAGGGAGGGGAGTCGTATAATATATCGTTCTAATATCAGAGGAGCGTGGTCTGCACTGAGTGTCATCCTGCATTTTCAGCAGCATCCGCAGGGTTATCACCTACCTTGCCTTGCATCGGCCTCTGTTCTCACTGGCCCAGCCTCAGCCTCTAGGACAAGTTCACACCTGCTATGAGATCCTTGTCCTGGCCCTCAGCCCCTTCAGATTTGTCAGCCCATTCATTACTTGGGAGAATACTTTGGAACCCTCAGGTGCTTTACCAGCACTGAGTCTGGTAGATGCACCTGAGCACCTCCATCAGCTGTAGTTCTTCCACCATTTGAACCTCTAAATGCACAAGGGGCTTCTCTATGTGGCTTGAAGTTCACCCAGGAATGTGGGTCTCTCCACTTCTCCTAGACCAAGGGGATATCTCATTACAACCCCTCCATCCTCCTCCTCCTTCAGTAATCATGCTTTTTCTCCTTTTAGGCAAGTAAACTATTGCATACTAATATGCATTTTTCACTAATCTATGATACATTATATGTAGTCTATATCCTGAACCTCACAACTTTGCTCTTGATATGCAGACCAGTTTTTTATAACTCCAAGAGAAGGATTTCTTTCTCAATAAAGCCTACACGTTGCACATCAAAAACACATTAGCTTTCAAATTGATGTCTATGTTTAGTAAGATTTACAAAATCTACTTAGTGGCTCAAAACATAGATTTTTGCTCAAGCCCACCACACACAGAAAGCGAGAGATGCTACCTGAATTATTAGGGAAAGGAAGGAATAGATAAAAAGCTGGAAAACAGCAAGTTCTTAATATATCACAATATTATCCTATTATTCTTTGGTACCAATTTCTGCATTAACCAAAATAGGTTATCAACTGGAACAAAGAGCTCCAAAAATCTAATGCAATAAAGATTTGTTTCTTGCTCACTTTCCAGGGCAATGCAAGAAAGTGGGGGAAGAGGAAGTGGATGGTGTTGATGCTCATTCCAGGATCTATGCCCCTTCCATCTGGTGGCCCCTCATCCTTCATGGACTCAGAGTCCTCAGCTGGCTCTCTGCATCTGGCAGCAAACAGGAAAGAGAGTAGAAGGTCTCACGGAATATTTTGTGTGTTAGCCAGAGTGGTAGGCAGAATTCTAAGGTGGTCCTGAGGACGCACTGCTCCCCAGTATCCACGTCCTGTGAATATGAGGGATTTTGCTCCTTTGATTAGGTTATCCTATAGGGCAGAGTTGAGTTTTAAAAAGGAAAATCACTGGGGTGGGATGGATCTAATTACAGGAAACCTGGGTCTAGTGATCAGAGACAGTGGTAACCAGAGACTCAAAATGAGGGGGAGTTGACGCAGAATAAATTTTCCATTGCGGGCTTTAAGGATGGAGGGGCCAATGACAAGGACCTGAGAGCAGTTCCCAGTGGACAGACAGCTAGTAGGAAAACGGGGATATCAGTCCTACAGCTGCAAGGAAATGAAGTCTGCCAACAACCATGAACTTGGAGGAGCTCCTCCAGCCCCCGATGAGTGCTACTCTCACTCCAACACCCAATCAGATAATGAGCAGGGAATCAAGTCATGCCATGCCCCAACAGCAACAGTAAAATAATCTGTTTTACTTAAAGCTGCCTAGTTTGTGACAATTTCATATGCAGCAACAGGAAACTAATCCTGGTTGAAGTGATGTGCATCACTTTCATCCACACTGCATTAGCCAAAGTTCAAGCATCTAACTGCAGAAGCTGGGAATTGTACGTCAGCTTGTTTTGCTTTGTTTTGTTTTGTCTTTTGGGCGTTGGGTGGGAAGCAAGGGAATGAGTTGGTGACCACATAGCAGTGACTTTGCCACTATTATCTATTTTAGCCAAAGGTAACCAAGCCACATTCTCAAGGGCCTTTAAAATATAAGTCCTGATATTCACTTAGTGTTTGTTCTGATTTACTCATTTCATTTTCTCACGTGAATGATAAATGGAATAACTCTAATACGGGATCACTAGAGAACAATGTCAATCACATTTCGTTTTTAGGCCTGGCTTTCATCTCAATATATTAGGTGAGTTTCAACAAGTTATTTCCTCATTCTGCTTCATTTCTGTTTCCACAAACAGGACAAAAACAGCAGGTAGGTAATACAGATCATACATAAAGAGACAAAAACGGAGTTCTTCATTGAACACCTGGGAGGGCGAGCTTAGGTACAGCCTTAACAGGGGTGGAAATTAAAACTCTTCCCTCTGGGGTTGATCCAGTGACTCTATCTATGTACTCTGAAAGCCTCAATAGGAAACTCAGTCTTACTCATGCTTGGATCATTATTCTGTCTCTGCCCTTCTCTCAAGAAATGTTATAAAAATAAATTTAATA